CATTGTATCTGTATATTATATCTGTACATGATCTCTGTACATTATATCTGTACATGATCTCTGTACATTGTATTTATCCGAGCCTTGTCACAACATACATTTTATTCAGATGTATATTTGATGTTAGATGAGAAGAAAATGTATCATTGTTGACAATCAGAGACAAAACTTGCCGTTGCTGAGAAGTTAATTTATATATTAATAACTCGTAGAAACGTTAGTATAAATGATAAAAACATAAAAAATACAGACACAAGCAAAATCACACACATACAAACACAAAGACAGTTACACAGAAATAAACAGATATGAAGGCAGAGAAATAAACACACATACAAAAGCAGACAAAGTCACACACAGTCACAGACAGACAGACACACACACACCATCACAGACACATTGGTATACAAATACAACTACAGACAGATATCAAAACTTGCACTCAGTCACAAGACTCCAAGTCACACAAACGTCCATACACACACACACACACACACACACATACACACACATACATACACACACACACATATATATATACACACAGCAGACTTACAAACATTTGCACAGAAGCACATACAATTACCACCACACAAGCACATGCAGAGAAACACACTTTCTCTCTCACAGACACACACTATGAGGTTTATAAATAAATATCTGTTACACTTTGACTTGTCTGTATCCTTCTTTTTACCTTGTGTCATCTAATGCCATCTGTTCTAGGTATGAAGGTCTGTTTAGCTGGTGCTGGGAGCTGCCTTTTGCCAACTCTGCATCTCTGATAATATTATATAACAGCCCCAGGATTGCCCTGATCTGCAGTTCTGGGTTACACATAAATCACAGCTCCTTCCCTGACCAGGATCTGTCATAAAATAAAGACAAGAACACATTAATGACCAGCCCGTTTAATATCACCCTTCTCCCCCTCCCCCCACATTACTATGTAACCTGTAATTTAAAATTTGCTTTTTTCCACAAAATGCTAAGGAGCACCCAGGAAAGCTGATTGGCTGCGTGGCTCCATGTGATCACAGAGCAGGTTACTGAATGCACAGACACTAAATCATTAGAAATTACTAAATATCCCTGAGATATTGACAAATTATCAATATATATATACATATATAATACACACACACACACACACAGACACACACACACACACACACACATATAGGATAGATAGATAGATAGATAGATAGATAGATAGATAGATAGATCTGAAATTATTAAATTGCATTATCAATACATTTAGATATTAATAAACATTACAGTTTATATATTACATTATAAGGCAATGGCTGTCAGTAATAACTGAGTAACAGGACAGACTCTGCTGCTGGGATCAATAGACTAAAATAGTAAATATATTCTACACAATTCAGTGATTTAAAATCAAACTCTGTAATGATGTCAATCTGACTCTCACATTGTCTGATAGAAGAGAAATAGCGAATCATAAAAGGGTGACTGGTGGCTTTGGGGTCCGTTGAGTGTTTATATCATTAATAAAGGGGTGACTGATGGCTTTGGGGTGCATTGAATGTTTATATAATTAATAAAGGGGTGACTGGTGGCTTTGGGATGCATTGAATGTTTATATAATTAATAAAGGGGTGACTGGTGGCTTTGGGGTTCATTGAATGTTTATATAATTAATAAAGGGGTGACTGCAGGCTTTGGTGTGCATTGAATGTTTATATAATTAATAAAGGGGTGGCTTTGGGGTGCATTGAATGTTTAAATAATTAATAAAGGGATGACTGGTGGCTTTTGGGTGCATTGAATGTTTATATAATTAATAAAGGGGTGACTGGTAGCTTTGGGGTGCATTGAATGTTTATATCATTAATAAAGGGGTGACTGGTGGCTTTGGGGGTGCATTGAATGTTTATATAATTAATAAAGGGGTGACTGGTAGCTTTGGGGTGCGTTGAGTGTTTATATCATTATTAAAGGGGTGACTGATGGCTTTGGGGTGCATTGAATATTTATATCATTAATAAAGGGGTGACTGGTAGCTTTGGGGTGCATTTAATGTTAACAGCATTAATAAAGGGGGGACTGGTGGCTTTGGGGTGCATTGAATGTTTATATCATTAATAAAGGGGTGACTGGTGTCTTTGGGGTGCATTGAATGTTTATATAAGGGGTGACTGGTGGCTTTAGGGTGCATTGGATTTTTATATAATTAATAAAGGGGTGACTCGTGGCTTTGAGGTGCATTGAGGGTTTATATAATTAATAAAGGGGTGACTGGTGGCTTTGGGGTGCATTGAATGTTTATATAATTAATAAAGGGGTGACTGGTGGCTTTGGGGTGCATTGAATGTTTATATAATTAATAAAGGGGTGACTGGTGGCTTTGGGGTGCGTTGAGTGTTTATATAATTAATAAAGGGATGAATGATTCCCTTTTCGTTGATAGTTAAACTGGCTGGAGGATGTGGGAGCTCTGTCTTCACACAGAAAGTGCTAAATTATATAAAGGGGTTAACAATGGCCATAGGATTGTAAATACAAACTCTCAGCACACATAATAATCAGCTGAGTTACCGATTAACATTTATTAAAACATTTATTAAATACATTGCTGCGTTAACATATTCATTGACTGCCATGCAATATGACACATGTATGTACATCTCAAACACATTAATCGTCAAGAATATCATATAAATTAAGAAATGTGTGTGTGTGTATATATATATAATGTCTGTGAAATGAAAGTGTGTATATATATATATATGAAATGAAAGTGTGTATGTGTGTATATATGTACACACACTTTCATTTCACAGGCACTATACACACACACATTTCATAATTTACACAATAAATATGATTAAAAAAATGATACAAACACACATATGGCATGTATAAACACACACACACACAAACACATGTAACGTATACACACACATATAACGTATACATTCACATACACACACACACACACACACACACCCCTACAAATACACCATCCAAATTTCTGTATTTTTCGTTCTGATGCTTCAGAATCGCTACAAATAATCCCATCCATGTGATTGATATAGTACCCCAGCTAATTGCAACATTAAACGTAAATGGAATGTGTCCCTACGTAGAAAGCTAACCGTTTCAGTCCTGTGCCAGAATTTGAATTGAGTTAAAATCTAATAGATTTAACACATCGAACAAGATATAGAAACAATATTTCCATTATGGAGTTAAAGTCAGCAAACCGTCGAGAAATTGGATGAGGTCCCTTTAAGAGATGGAGCCATTTGTCTCTTTGTGTGTGAGGCTGGAAACCTACAGCCGGATGGGAGAAATGTTTACAGCACAAGAATTGTAAATAATACAAATCGGAGCCCTGTGCACAACACAAATACAATGTATCATGTAATCAGAACAACAAACGCTGAATGTATCGACTGGGTATAAACATATAATATTCCTGTCTGGGTCAGAGAGATCTATTGACAGTGTAAAAGGCTGTATAAATAGAGATTCCTATAAATGTGATACAATAAAAAAAATAAAAATACAAAATACATTCAAATCAGCTCGAGAAACAGACAATATAACGAAATCATGCTGCAGTCTCTACACTAAGTTACTGATAATACACAATGTGTCCTGGGAAGGCTGAGATTCAGCAGTCTTTGTTGGTCGTTTACTTGTAAACGCATTCTATATCCACAAGAAAAAAGACAACAAAAATAATAAATGTAGAAAAAAATATAATAAATATAAAAAAAGTAATAAAATACTGGAAATGTATGAAATTCAATGATCGACCAAGGAGACAGGTCTGGGTTTTAAATATATTCAGAAACCTGTTTAAACCCACCCTGATTGTTTGTGCTTTGCTAATGGATATCCGGGGAAGTAAAAGGGTGAGATGATATTTTGTATATTAATGGGGGATTATTATATGACCCTATTCCAGAACATTTTGTGCTGAGGATGTAGCTGATAGTTTTAAAGATAATTCTTTACTTTGACCTTTCCAGAGACTTCAATGGCTCTTTCCCAAGTTAATCCCAATTCTTTCCTTTTTCTCGGGATAAATACAAACACACAAAAAATGTAATTTATTTAGATTTCAGAACCCTGTCAAACGCATCTGGATGGTTTTATTCTGTATACGGATACAATATATATCATAATGGCTCTAAAATCTCCCATGTGCTTTGATTTATAGCAGGTAGAGATTGGCCACAACTAAACGTAAAGGGGATTTATTTAATATAAATTATCTGTTGTTTTATCTGCCTAAATAACATATCTGTATAGTGTATATCTGCTGAGAAAAATACATAACGAAATTCAGAATAATTAAATAAGCATTGCAGCTTTAAAATTAAATTATCACTGAAAAAAATACAATGGTATACTTTGACAATATATTTACTTACACTTAAATATTAGTTTTGCAATATATATATGTATACAATTTTCCATGTATATGTATAACATTAAACCGAAATTAATTTCGAATAGAATATTTTTTAAAACACTATAGAAAATACACGAAATAAGGTCAATATCACACGAACACGTCTATAAATACAAATGTATATTTATATAACTCTATCTATGCACATAGACCAGTTAAATATATATATATATATATAACTTACCTGTTTTTCGTATTGTTTTGTAGATGATTGAAGCAACTGTTATGGCTGAAAAAAATAAAAAAAATATGTATGCATAAAATATATAAACAAAAAAAGAAACAATTATTCTATATTTCCATTATTATTATTATTATTATTATTATTTGCTGTGATATAATCCTGATTGAATGAAGGCTGTGTGCAATGTGTGTAATGTAATTTAAAAGAAATATATATATATATATACATATATATATAGATGGCCAAACAAATAATTGGTGAATAAAGTGACAAATGCCCTAAGCATTATAATTCAAGTGGGCTCCACCTACCAGCTCTGCCTAGTAATTAATGGAGCTCCCAACTTGCAGACGCCTGCATTAGAAAGGAGAGTGGAGCAGAGACATGCCATTGGAGAAAATTGATTACATCCCAATCAAGAATAACTTGTTAGCTTTAGTCAATGTATCAGCCTCTTGATTATTTTTCCCCTCTTTTCCTCCATGGTCAAAGGATGTTAATTTTGTTGGGAGCAGTGTGAATTCTCTTTGAGGACAGGAGGAAGGGATTTTTTGTTTTTTTGTAACAGGCTGTATACACACTGTATCCAACAACACAGAATCTTCATGGACAATAGTGTTGAAAAGTCATCTTCGAATCAGGCTGGTGGAATCCTTATCCCAATCATTGACACCTCCCTCTCACCACCCTCACTTTTTTTTTTTAATTCATTTTAACCTTGCAGATTGTATCTCGACTCTCGACTGTCTTTAAGAAGGCAGCAAAGGAGAAACCCTCTGTAGGAGCAGTTGGGGGAGAACTTTTTGGGGTTTTTTTTAATTTGGCTTCTCTGCTAAAGGTAGGGTTCCATAATGACTTCCAAGGAAGAAGCAAAAGCCTCTTCTGTAGAGGAAAGAAGAAGAAATGCCTTGGATCATTTGCCACCTCCTGCAAACTCCAACAAGCCCTTGACTCCTTTTAGCATTGAGGACATTCTGAGCAAGCCCTCAGTCAGGAGAAGTTACACTATTTGTGGGACTGCTCACTTACTAACCTCAGCAGAGAAACCACCACCTACAGGGCTCCCACTGTCCAGCAGAACTCTGCTCTCCCAGACATCACCCCTCTGTGCCCTGGAGGAACTGGCCAGCAAGACCTTCAAAGGACTGGAAGTCAGTGTCCTACAAGCTGCAGAAGGTAAGGTTTAGCTAGATATTTCTACTAACGTCAAAACAGAACATTCGAAACAAACAAATAAAAAGCCAAATTTAGAACAAAAAATGTAGTGTTTGTAAAATATCTTATAATTATTGTTATTGTTATTATTAGTTTATTTCGGTGGAAAATGTATTCGATTTTTATTTAAATCATCAATAATGTTACTGTAACTGTATTACACTTAAAGAATAAATTGTATCAAAGTATAAATAGAAAATAAACGCTAGAATTACTAAATAAATGCCCTTCTAGCTTATCTCCTTTCACATTTTATTTATTTATTTTAAACTTGATGCACTTGTTTTATTTTATGTATATTATTGAATAAATATAGAACAATTACTGTGATGTATTAACTGCATATTTTAAATTGAATTAATACACAATCATGAATGAAGTGAAATTTGCAGAGAGATATTTTTTTCACGGTTAGTTTATGTTTAAGAAAATGATAATATGGCAACAATTTCTTTTTTACATTTTTTTTTTCTGGATTTAACTACAATGTAATTTTTATTCTTGCAGGGCGAGATGGAATGACAATTTTTGGTCAGCGACAGACTCCCAAAAAGAGGAGAAAGTCCAGAACAGCTTTTACAAATCACCAGATTTATGAGCTGGAAAAGAGGTTTTTATACCAGAAATATTTATCACCTGCAGACAGAGACCAGATCGCTCAGCAGTTGGGACTGACCAATGCTCAGGTGATCACCTGGTTCCAAAATCGCAGAGCTAAACTCAAAAGGGACCTGGAGGAGATGAAGGCAGATGTAGAGTCAGCCAAAAAACTTAGCCCTTCCACAGTGGAGGCTGTTCTTACTATCTCAGAACTGGAAGAGACTGAATCTGTCACTAGTAGGGGAAAAAACAGGTCCAGATCTCCAACCCTTTCTTTACCAGGTCACCTCCAAATATCCCCCTCATCCCCCTTCACAGACCCCCAGACCAGTCAAGAATGCTCAGAAGACGAGGAAGATGTCGAAATTGATGTTGACGATTAATTCCTATCTACATTTATTTTTAAATATATATTATAAACACATCACAGAAAAGAAAAAAGACTTGATGAATACAATACAAGCACGGACAGTAAATTAAATGCTGCACTTGTTTTCATAATAAAAGAAAAATTATAAAGAAACAAAAGACAACAAAATCATATTTAACAACAAAATCAGTTTCTTTTCAATTAAAGCAATAAACAATATACGAAAAAATAAATAAAACAAAGACTAAATTTGCCACAGCTGCCAAATCAGGTAGTCTTTTTTTTTTCCCTTTAATTATTATTTTTAATTGTTATAATATTTTTTCCTTCTTTTTTTTTTTTTTTGGAATGGTGCAATTGTGTATGGCTTATTCTGTAAAATATTAAAAAATATTTTTTTAAGCTTTGATTTCTAATATCTATAAATAATTTACATATCGCATAGCTTTGGAAAAACCATGCTTAGTTACTGTTTTTTTGTATTTGTTTGTTTGTTTGTTTTTTTTTCGACGGAATAATTTAAACATTTTAGATTAATTCTTTAGACCTTGCCTCATTTCTCTTGCATGTAAAAGGAATGTACGATTTATTTTCCTCAAACTCTGTTTCATCTTTTAATTTTCTATTTTCTTGCTAGTATTATTGTTTAACTAAATGTGTGTGTGTGTGTGTGTGTGTGTGTGTTTGTGTGCATATGTATACACACACACACACACACACATATATACACGTAGATATATAGACACACATATATATATATTTATACATGTATATATGTATTTATATGTATATGTTCATTGTTCCCTTTTACAATATACCTTGATAATCATTTATATATAAATCTATTATTTTATTTTATTTTTTTCTTGTAACAGTATGATTTTGTTACAGCAGACATCCTTTTAATATGGGTACATGATTATGGTTGAAACATAATTATTTTTTACGGTTTCTAGAATTTTGCATGGTACCAAGAAAAAAAAAAATCTAATACATATAAAATATATAATTATTAAATGTACAGACAGAAGATTTGTTAGAATTGTAAAAAAAAAACAAAACAAAACAACAAACAACAACAAAAAGAAAAATTCACAAAACAAAATGTAAGGCCTGTTATTTAAGTTTTAATCGCCAGGAGCAATGCTGGTTTTGTTTACTTTATTTTGGCATTGTACAGAGAAATCTTTTTTGAAATACGACGAAAAATAAATGACATTTTAATACAATTTCAACTGTATATCGGTGTAATCCTTGCTTCATCAAATATATGAAATGTTTAACCTTTTTAATTTTTGTTTTAGTATTACCAAAAGAATAATATAAATATATTTACATATCACTGACAATATTCCCTAAAATTAGCTCGGATATGGCACAAGAGCAATGTCTCATGGCACATTGGGAAGATTAAATGTGTAGATCAGGGGCAGTACTTAAAATAGTATTTTTTCTACAAAGCTAAATGTCCCCTGAAGAATATGCATTATACAGCATGCATTAGATCTGAATCTTTAAAGAACTTAGATGATTTAGCTTTAAGTGTGCCTTGCCTTTTTGACCCATCAACGTGTATTTTGCTGCTCTTTGCAAAATTTATGTGAGAAGCTCAAATCTGGCATAGTTAAAAAAAAAAAAATGTAAAAAAAAAAAATCAGACAGAGTGAGGCAGGGGAAAAAAAAGGGTCTTTAAAAATACTGTGAGTTTTTGCCCAGTTTCTCCAGGGCTGTATAAATCTCTCCCTCTCTTTGAAAATAGATGGGGCTATAATTTTAGCGTAACGCATGAAAACTGGGGACAAATGAGTCATCTTCCCTGATGTGACATGTGACAATGGGCCATGCACTCCCTCCTGCAGTTCCCAATGCTGGGACAAGCGTGGCCCTTCTTTGCAAAAGAGCCAAACGCTTGGAAGCCATATGGTTTTTGAATTTTCTTCACAATTTTTAGACAATTTGATGGATTGGGTTAACCCTCCCATAAACTGTTTAACTCCACTTTACAATAGAAGCAATGAATACATAGCCTGCTCTCCATAAGGGCATCTGGGCTTTTCCATGTGTTTATTGGCATTCTAACCAATTTTAGGAATTACAATGTCATTCATTCATTGCTCTTTCTACCCTCCAACACTGCTTTCCAATTTTATTTATTTTTGGGGGGGGGTGAGGGCTGAGGGGGAGATGATAGACTTGACTTCTGTCAAGATATATATTTATATATTTTGGTTTTAAACAACAAGCTCTCAATCTTCTCCTTAACTGCATTATGCTAAACAGGCAAATCGTAAATGTTGAAAAGTGTGACATTTATGTAAAGATCTCGTTAATGCCTTTTATCTGTTCTTTTTTTCCCTTTTCACTCTTTTTTTCTTTTATCCCTTTGTTTTTAGGGGGGGTTAATGAGGCTGAAAACACTGCAATTGAGTTTAGGCAAAGAATAGAGTTGGGAGTTAATTTGGGTTACAGCCATTGTGTGAAATGTACTCCAAAGCTGGATGGATGTCTAAAGAATTGAATGAACTCAGTGAAGTTTTCACACGTGGCAAAGTCTGTTTATATGGGTTTATAGACTTTTACTGCACTCTGTTTTGTTTTTTTCTTGTTTTTGTTTCTACACCTTAGTTGTTTCACTTTTCAGTTTGGATACTTCAGCATTAAGGATATATTTTTGTACCCCTTCCCAGCATCACTAAAAGACAGCACATACTTTTCTTTCATACTCTTTAATTATAATAGAAGTGATAATAAATAAATATTGTCACCCAATAACCTTTCACAAATTAATTCCAACACCTTAAATACATTCATAAAGAAATTAAATGAAATCACAGAAATACAATTCTAACTGATTTTTATAATAGTGAGTTGTATTTATGGTATTATATTTACTGCTATTTTATTTTGGATGTGGGTATGACAGAAGGCACTGTGAAAGGAAATCTGTAAATATATTGCAATCACTGGTCTATATTATCACAGCAATGGCAGTGGAAGACTAACCTGGGATGGTGTGATGGTTGATACACACTATATTGTGAGGTTAATTTAACCCTTTAAATGAATGTCATATTTTTATATTGGATAAGCAATCACAAATCTGCTGAATTATTCACATTTAACAGGACAACTTTCTTCACAATGCACCTCATTTACACACTTTAACCCATGTTACAGGCCTGGGCGGATACACCCAGTACAGAGATGTATGTATGTATGTATGTATGTATCTATCTATCTATCTATCTATCTATCTATCTATCTATCTATGTTATATGTACTATATTTATATCACTGATGCCTTGGAATAGAGTAAGTTTGGAGAAGAGTGATTTATGTTCAAAATATTTGAAAATGTCCCTTAATGATCAGGTTATCAGCTCAGTCTAAACCAGAACTAGTTCACCTTTTATTCCATCTGATATGGAGTACATTTTGGTTGAGCCTGATGGGCGCACACAAAGTATCACAAAGTATCAGGTATTCCCAGAACGAATACAATATGCCTTACTGGAATATATCAAAGTGCTTATTTTATTTTTTGTAATAGTAATTTTTGTCTGTAATTGTAATTTTTGTTTGGAATTGTATTTCTGTTTGTTCTGTTAAAAAGCCGAGTTTGGGTTTTCACCAAAAGACACAAGAAATATTTTTGTTTCCCTGCATGACCTCAGAACTCCACTATTCATAATAAATAAATATCTGTCTCCCAGCTCAGCCCATTCCTGGTGCAGATCTTGTTCAGAATTTGTATTGAGATTTCATTCCCGTAAGAAGGCCAGATTGTGTCTGTCATCTAGGAGATGTCAATGGGAATTTACCCAAGAACAATCTTTGATGGTTGATTTTTTTTTGTTTTTTTCTTTCCGTACACTGGAGATTAATTTCATGATATTTTTCTTACCATTTCTGTTTTTATGTCCCTACACTGGACGCATTGGAGACATGGTTAAAGGCCTTTCACTCCAATGAGAGATATTTCTCCTTGTCCTGTGGATCCTGTGGTTAACACAAGGTTAACCAGGCTTGGGAAGGACTATAATAGCTATTGTTGAACTATGTCTAATGTCGCCATCTGACCAAGAGATTCTCGCAGATTATGAATGATAGATTTCACACCAGTTCCCCGGCTCTGTTTTTTTCCTCACTATGTAAAGCGGATGAGAAAGTGCTGATTATTTATCACTTAAGTGAAATGATCTCACTTTTTGCAGTTATGAGAATTATTTGCTAAACAGTGAATTGACATGAAAATAAATGGACGGCGTGCTAAGCTGACAGTCGATATGCCGAATGTAGGCCCAAACAGGGGACTTGTGATAAATCACATTTGGAGTTTTATTTTTGTTTTTTTCACTGCTGATGTTTTGATGTAAATTTACAAATTGTCCACTCGCTCGCTTTATCCAGTGTATAGTTCCCTTGACTGCTTATTGACCAAGAGGGGTTATAGGTTAATAAAACGGGTTGTAAGGCTTTGTTGAACCACATTTGTCTTCCCTTATCTATGAGCTGTGCGTTAAAGGTTGTAATAGATATCTAGACTGCTCCATAGGCCTCAAATAAACCCGATTTTTTCCAGCATAAAATTATTTTAGCTTGTATTAAGTAAATCAGTACTCAGTTCAGCACAAGACGCTGTTTAGTACATAGTATCCTATTTTGACAGTCAAATTCACCTTTTGGTAATCATTTGGCATTACAAAGGTACTAAGAATCCCCAACTACTTGGCACCAGTCATTGTCTTTTCCCAGACCGGGGTTCTTTGTACATAGTGAGTGATTTCAGATCCACATTTTATCTTGTTCGCATATCACATGACTCCCAAATGTGGTATAACCCTGTGCGAATGATGCAGAGGGGGCTGGCGTATGTCGAGTCTGTGGAATTTACTTCCTTGGTTTATGAGGTGTCAGAGAAGATGTCAGACGTGGCAACGATAACTAATACTACAGTCTGAGAGACCAGAACGCAGTAATTAATCCCAAAGACTTAAGTGTATTTTAGTTCAGGAGAAAAAAAAAATCACTAATTCAATCGTCCGTAAAATTGAAGTTTGATGCATGAGTCCCCGCTGCACGGGGAGATTTCTCTCATCTTCGGAATCTGGGATGGCCTAGAACGCATCACATGCATTCTCACTATCCTTCCTGTTACATGTGTAATCACTCATTCCAATTCATATTCATAGCCCACCATCACCAACACACACTCCCAACTGTGACATCATGAACCGATATGGTTGGTGTATTAAAGCAGATGTTGGGGTTACGTGATGCCACGTTTACATCTGCTGGTGTATATCAAAAGGGATCCTTTTATATGTAAATATTTAAAATGCACCATTATACTATCTGTATTACATAACAAGACACTGGTGGGGACTAATTGCTTAAAATATGTCTCCCCTCAGACATCCTGCTTCTGTTGACTCATATTTAGCTGCTTGAAAAAATGACTTACATCGGGTCTCGTCATCTTATCGAAGACAGCTTGCTTTATACTAACATCCAAATTTACAGTCAGAGTCCACATTAAAGATTAGGAATTTGTCATTTTACTGCAATAGTCAAGAGCAAGAAAGCTATTGCACAAACGGGTTGAGAGTTTTTGGTACTTGCGACTACTGTCATTAATTCAGTCACTCTTCCATTAAGGATATACTGGGAGAGGAGCTGGGAAGGCACAATTGCACTGTCTTTGTATCCCAAGTCCAGTCCTTCTACCAGCATATCAGTAATAGGGAGGAGGTAATTAAGGACAGAAACTAGTGCTTAAGGTTGTAACTCCCACTACCCTTAGACAGGTCAGGTATGTGCTGCACTGAAATTAGGGGCCCTGGATCGCACAGTGAATATGTCTGTTAATGCATATGGAATAACATGATCTGTCTACGGAAACTATATATATAATTTATGAATATCTCCAAATCCCCAATATGGCATTCGTTTAAGCTAACACTGTGCTTTATTATTATGATTTTTAATGTGTTAGGACTAAAGATAGTGTTGGGGCAAAATTAGAGTTAGTGTAAGTGTTTGGGTAATGTAAATTCTATGGGTTAGTGTAAGTGTTATGGTAGTGTAGTGCTAGGGGTTAATGTAAGTGTTAGGGTAGTGTAGGTGCTATGGGTTAGTGTAAGTGTGAGGGTAGTATACAGATTAGGGGTTAGTGTGTTATGGTAGTGCAGGAGTTGAGGGTTAGTATAAGTGTTAAGGTAGTGCAGGAGTTAAGGGTTAGTGTAAATGTGAGGGTAGTGTACGGATTATGGGTTAGTGTGTTATGGTAGTGCAGGAGTTAAGGGTTAGTATAAGTGTTAAGGTAGTGTATGTGCTATGGGTTAGTGTAAATGTGAGGGTAGTGTACGGATTATGGGTTAGTGTGTTATGGTAATGCAGGAGTTAAGGGTTAGTATAAGTGTTAAGGTGGTGCAGGAGTAAGGGTTAGTGTTAATGTGAGGGTAGTGTACGGATTATAGGTTAGTGTGTTATGGTAGTGCAGGAGTTGTGGGTTAGTATAAGTGTTAAGGTAGTGCAGGAGTTAAGGGTTAGTGTAAATG